AAGCAGAAGCAGAGAGTACGGCCTCAGGACCGAAGAGAAAGAGAGCCGGGGAAGCGGCGGTGGGGGGGAAGAAACGGCGACCGGGCACTGATGTAGAAGCGAGTAGGGCGGCCGAGGCAGCGCTTCTGGCGAACTATGTACCCGGCTGATGTTGTTGCGCCTTGTTTCCCTCCCTGCCGTATGCTATACTCCTTTATGTATGTCCTTTTTATTGCCTTCGGCCTCTGTGCTGTTTCTTTTTTTTCATGACCTCCCTACCTACTCTGCTGTGTTGGGAACCTTGATCTCGCTTTGCTGTTGCCTTTGTTTTTGTACGTCTGGCTGTCTGCCCATCTGCCGCCTCTTTGTCCTGTTTGCTCCGTTACTCCCATGCCCTGGTGCGCAGTGCCTGGTGTTGGTACGTTACCCTTTGATTTTTTCTTTGGGCGGGTGTGGGAAGCGTCCTCCATTATTTTTCTGTTATTTTTGTTTTGTTTTATTTTGATCGGTGTCCGAGGGCTCTTTTCTCGAACGGTCGGTGCGATACCTGTTCTTTTCTTTCTATCATTTTGTTTTCTTTTTCCGAGTGGTTTGTACCCTATTTATGTTTTTTTTTTGTTTTCTCGCGGCGTCGTATGTGCCGGGTTTTGAGACCACGGGCTTCCCATTTTTTGTGGACTATAGCGCTAATGCGAGAAACAACAACAACAACAACAACAACAACAACAACAACAACAACAACAACAACAACAACAACGTGCGTACGTACGTGTTGTCGTACAGTATTGACGTTTACAGAGAGAGGCAGCGTATAGTATGTATATAGTGTATCATCGCCTACTCTCTCTCTCTCTCTTTCTCAGTCTTTGCTTTGCCCCCCGATCGTTGCCGTGCGTGTTTCTACGCAACGATATATGTATATCAAATAGGGTAGGCCCATGTCTATGTTGCTTCCGGCACATCATGATCAGAAGATAAAGATGGCGCTCGCACTTAAGAAGTAGTTAAGAAATGAGGCCTCGAAAATAATCTAAATCAAAGAAATTGACCACGTAATAATAACAACACGTGCATGCTCAGGGCCGACGTGGTATTAGGAACAAAAACGAACCCAATTGTCTTTGTGTTGTAAGGTCAGAGGCCCCAAAACGCGACAGCTGCAATATAATAAGCGCTCACGAAGGAGTGAGGGGCTACTCGCGGGGCGCCCGGTGGGCAGTTAGTTGCAGATCAGCGGCGAGGAGGAGGTTCCTTTGAAAACAGTACTGGTGCGGAGATGGGGGAGGTGTACTGTTTTTATTTTTGCGCGTCTAACGGTAGTCAACTATAAAATCGGGCTTACAAATGCCGGCACTCTTGAAGCTTTGTTTTTGTTGTTGCCGTGAATGTCCAATAAATCGGTGTGTCGTGTACTCTGTGGGAACCGGCTGGTACATAGTTTTCGCGGCACGGCATGGACATTCTCGGGCTTGAACAACCTCGCCGGCAACCAAGCACAGATACAAATGTCCCTTAACTGGGTTTGGGCTGGCGTTTCCGCACCCTGTCTGACCTTGGAAGTTGGCAACGGTGCGCCCGACCGGGATACGCAGGTTGTACAACGCCTCGGGGTTACAGGTCACGTTAACCCCCCCGTAACCGTGCCCACTGGCCACCCGTGAACTGCTGTGTGGTGTGGCATACTTTGGCCTCTCGCCTCTGTGAGAGCGTTGCCATTCTTTATGTGCTTTGTCTCTCAGTGTGGATCTCTTGCGATTCTGCCCGCCTCCCCCCCGCGCAACCGCGGTTTTTTGGGTCGATTGCCCTTTCGAGCGTAGCCGATTTGATGAGCAACAATGTAGGTGTCGTCCCAACCAACACAAAAACGCGCGCCCTTGACGAAGTCGAACATGTTGGATACCAGTATTGCCCGTTCCACCACATTTCGAGAAAACGTGTGAGGTCCTGCATGCATCACGTATGGCTGGCGAAGCTGATTCGGCTGGGGTGTGCAGTCAACAGATGTTTTCGCCTTTTCTCCCTGATAAACTCTTCGTGCTACTCATTTCTAATATACTGTACTAGCCCGTGTGGTGCAACGAAAATGATAGAAATGAGGTCTCGACATGAAGTTGAAGTTTCTCATATTCGCGCCCCCGTACATAGTCTTATGCCGCAATCGGTCTATGTAGTGCCAAGTTGGTATGGGGAAGGTCGCTCGGCGATCGAACATGCGGTAGTAGTCAAGCTGCACGTTGTTGCCCTAACGGTATTTTGCCTGTGGGTCACTCTAATGATAAGTGATACCCGGTGTGGTTGAAAGATTCCACCGACTCCGTAAGGAAGCCGGACTGCGTGACATCCTTCTCTGGACAGGTGGGAATCAACGAAGCCCAGCTTAATATCGACCTACTCGCGTAGCGCTTGTATTGCAGAAAGTCGCAAGAGGGAATAAAGCTTGAGACGGCACTCAACTGTAACTCTGAAAATGCGTATGGATACAACTTCTGCAGTTTGCCCTCGGAGGGACAGGCACGTCACTTCTTCCAAAACGGCGTCACACACGCCCGTCGTATAGGTGATGGGTACGCTGCTAAAACTACACCGCGCGATTAAGTCAACCCACACCCCAACCCCTTCCTAACGAGCTGTGCGTTACAACGAGAGAGCAGCGAGCTAAAACATAGACGGCGTTTGAATGCGAAAACCGCCCGGGACCTCCATTCCACGTATGTCGTCGTCAAGGTCCATGTGTTGTCTCCGTCCAGAAGGCCCAGCCCGTCGGCAGAAGAGGGGCCCGCCTCTTGAGGCGTCGTTTATAACCCTTCAGAAGGTAGAACAGTTGGTGCCGAAGGCGGATTCGCGCGAGCGGTCGAAAACCAAACTCGGTGGCGACTCCGAAGAGTCAGGGGTTGCAGAAGATTGCAAAGAAAGCAGGAGCAACCGGAGTTAGTTGGTACGCGTCAAGGACGCAGAATCCAATCCATCAGCCAGACAGAGGCGCGGAGGGATTCGAGGATAAACCATCAGCACGGGTAGACGAAACTCGCGTCGTCAACGGTGCCGAGGACGTCGTCGGAGGCCGTCGAGGCGGTCGAGTCGAAGCGGAAATCCGTGTGGTAGGCGTAGAAGGTGGGTCGTCAGAGAAACCATAATCAACAGTCGGGGGCGGCTTGCCCTGCGACAACCGCCTTGAAGCGACGAGTTTGCGTGAAAATCACTTGAGTATGGTCGAGGATCCGATGTAGCGTGACAACTACCGGAACGGTCGACGTAGACTCAGGCTCGAGAGCAAAAACGTCATCCGAAGACTGACGCAGAGAGTCGGACGAAACGACAGGAGGCCGATTGGGGATTGTCGAAGGGAACGAAACGCCGAGCGCCGTGGGAGGCCAAGGAGCTATGTTAGTGACGCTGGACGAAGGCGGAAGGCCCGATGGTGGGAGAAGCGGACCGTGACGACGAACATCGACGAAATCAGCCTAGAGGGGGCAAGCCCCACTCAAGACCGAACTAGGGGACGCCGGGACGAGCACACCCAAGCCAACACCCGCGGTCCTAGGGTAACGCCACCAGAACGGATGAAAAACACGAGCTCCTCATCCTCAGCCTGTGTCAAGCGGCTGCGACCTGATCGGTCACATTCGGCCGCATCGATTGGAAGACGAGAGAGGAAACCAGCGTTTTGCCATTCCCGGAACCCTTGTGATACTCCTTGTAGGCGGTAGGGAGTTCTAGCCACGTTGAACACGGGCATTGTTTCCCCCCACCTTGGCAACACGCTCAAGACATTGGTGGTCGGTACAAATTGAAATTTCAAATTTCGTACCCCACAAGTGACCGCGAAGTCGTTTGGTACACCACACGGTACTACCGGCCTCAAGATCAAGGGGAGTCTATTGGCGTTCGGAGTCCAAAGTAGCTCGACTGATGAAGACGATGGGGCGGATGGAGCCAATCGGCTGTCCTTGTTCGAGAGTCCCACCGAACCCATGGCGACTGGCATTACAGTAAACGTGACAAGGTCGCGAGCCGACCGAAACGGTACCAATCTCGATAAAAAACCAAAACTGGAGGATCGCCAACCCAAACAACAGCACGCGAACGGCTTGCTCTATAGATGGGGTGAAGACAAACTTCACTTGCTTCTTGAGAAGAGCAGTCAGAGAACGAGTGCGTTTAGCCATGTTGGGGAGGAACTTACGATAGTAGCTGAGAGCGTCGAGGAGGGAACAAAGTTGCACAAACCCCAACCCTAACTACTGTGACCTAAAAAAGTCAAGAAATAGTTGCCGTCCCACAGATAGATGTCCCATAGGACGTCCCACTAGAACGTCCCCAATAATTATTACAGCCGAATCGTGTTGGTTGGAGTAATCAGGATGTATGTGAGTCCCACGTCCCACTGAAACTTTACAAACAGAAAAGAAGAGAACACAGCAAGGCGACGAAGCGCGGGCTGATGCCCTACATAAACAACATGCCATTATCACCCCACGGTTCGAAAAAATGCTCGCTCGCTACCGCAAGAAAAAAAATGTATGTCGACACTCCTCTTCCGATCGATTTGTGTGTGCTAGACTATGCATGGCTATCCACCTACAGCAGTACTGACCCCTGAGTACGAGCTGCGCTCCCTTTGGATGGGGGGTGCAAACTATTCGGCGGCGGCGGCGGCGGGGGCATTCGTTGGACGTTCTCCGTAGTGAGGGGCGATGGTGCGGGGAGGGTAGTTTCCAAATAAGAGTGTCGTATTCTGAACCTTGGGGTTGCGCACAGCATCTTTCAGCTCCCTCCGACCCAACAACAAGAAGCGTACCGCATCTAGAGCCTTCTGGGCCTGCTCTGGGTCTACTCTCGTACGTCCCATGCTCAGCAGCAGGACCCCAAAATGGGCAAAGATGCCCCACATCAGGGGTGTGGGTGAGGGCTGTGCTGTATCTCGGGAGACCAAAAATTTATTAATAAATAAGAACAAAGACAAAAATATTTTCCATTTTTATTTGTAATTTTGTGCTTGACCCGGTTGCTCAAACGAAAGCCAACAAAAACAAACGAAAAGCTGAAAATTTGAAAAAAAAATTGGGGGTCCCCGCGGATTATGCACCAAGGGATGTGCATTGGAAAAAAGTGTTCGTTCAAGGGGGCGTGTTCGTCAGTGCTGGGCGTAGAACAAAAAAAACGTACGTACGTAAGCGCCAATTCGCACTCTACCATGCTGTACACGCCTACAGCAGAGCCAACCCTCCAAGATGAAGCGCTACGGCTGTAGACGCCTCTAATAGCTAGCCATCGGCCGAAGTAGGATGAAATTCCATACACTCCAGCGCTAGAACTCAGCAATGAAAGATCTCAAATCGGCCCAAAAAAAATACTCGAGTATGCAAAAGCGCACCGGCCCCCATGGACGCGGCGGAACCTCTACCGAGCCGACGGCACTTTTCTGGCGAACACGAGAACGCGCTGAATACGTTGCCAATTGGCACGATACTTGGCACGAAAGCATACTGCTGTATGGAGAGTAGGATGGCCAATCCTGGCAATTATATGTTCCACGTAGTAGCCGGAGGGAGGGACGGATTTGGTCGAAAAACGGCATCCACGCGCAAGCTTCATGCTTATTAGGTGTCTCACGACTGTTGACAACAGGATGCCCCCGCATCTTGTAGGTGCCTCCTTCATGGTTGTACAGCACTTTGAACTATGTTCCTTCATGCAGTGCAAGCCGAGTACACGTACTCGGCGTGCACCAACATTTTGAACTGGAACCCACCTGTGCACCTGTGCGGTGTTGTTGTTGCACCGCGAATAGCCCAGGTTTGCCTTCGCATCGTTTTTTTGGTACGCGACCGATCAAATGGTCTAGACACGAAGCACGCAAGACTACAACGAATGGGGGTTGCCAGAAGAGGATGTTCCGGTCCCGTGACTGGAAACGACGAATACAGTACCTTGCCAAGCTAATTCAGTACAAGACTTATAAAGTCGATGCCTACATCAAAGCGCTAGCACCAAAAAACATGCTGCGCATGATTAATTAAGTATGTAGGGCAGGTGGGTATCACAGAGGATGTGCATTTAGCGTTCCAGGCACCACGCAAAGCATACCTCGCGACTTTCCCCCCTCCGCTGGTTAAGCAACGTAAGGTAACTCAACGGGTAGTGATTGGTTTTACTAGTTCTCTTGCAGACTCCTTGGGGCTCCGTGGGATGTTCATGCGGGTAAATATTCTAGCGTACATTCCCCCCCAACACCGTGCATTCCGTGACGCTGTACAACGTATTATCCCTTGTTGAAGTATGGTGACACCCTAGATAGTATGATGTTCAATACCACCAACTTAGCGAGAGATGTAAATCATGGTAAATATAGATGTATTTGCAAAGACCCCCAATGGAGTAAGTACACGATTGTTGCCAAGGATGGTTCCAAATGTTTGATTACTACAGATTCCGGATGTTTTCAGGATGACAACGCTGCAGCTGTGCTAAACTTACAAGCTGGTTTTAGAACAGAATATATATGCTGAAGCCTTGAATGACCTGTCCTTCTTTGAATCGCTCATAGACGGCATAATAAGCGCCAACACATGGCTACACTGAAGCAATATCGGGCATTCCCACATTGGGAAACAACAGTTCAGTGTTATCCACTAGGAGTAAAATGTCGACGTGGCACTGTCAAATGTGCCGATTTATTTGCTGTTAGATGTACTGACATTCGATTTTTCCAAGCTGCCACAGCCAGATTGATGGCTGACATGCTTGCACGTTTCTATTCAAGACGACTTATACGTAATACTTTACACAATTTCATGTATACCTTTTTTCGTACCTCACGAATGACTGCAAACATCGTGGGTGTAAATGCACCTATGGTGCGGAATTCATTCTGGAAGAAAGTAGAGTTGGGTATTTGGAATCGAATAGATACGAAGGACTTTTTGGTAANATATTTGACCGTCGAAAATGCAAGGGGGAACACTGAAAATGAAACGTGTCCCTTGCAATTAGGATAATCAATTTCTGTACACCTTTCATAAAAATTCCCATACACCCAGGTGACAACGGAAAAACTGGGAATCAAATTCCGATGAGCCAGAAATCTGCACTTCAAAGAGCCAGCCAGCGACATCTGCTGAGAGGAGCACGCATGCAGTCATTCTGTTTATTTTAGCTCAGCCACCCACCTCTCTTGGATTGTGGAGCTAGCCGGCATTTCGGATCCAGCCGTTGTGCGATACTTAGACTAATCATCTCCGATAGGACTTGAGGAGGACTGACTGTAAAGCTTTAGAGTATACTGCACTGCGTCTGCTCCTTGCTGCTGCTCTTGGCTGACCCAGGACTTCGAAAAATCCCTACAGGTACGAACAAACCCCTCTGTGTGTGGTCGAAGATGGACTGCGTCTCTGTACAAGCCCAACATGCCACCATGCACAACATACTACTGCTGCCGTTCACCTGTCGCCGTCCTTCCACGTCTACCTGTCCATGACACATGCTGCCACTTGATGCGACAACATCTGGGAACAACACGGACACAGGGAGTACCCCACACGCGCAACCTCTCATTCCTCCCTTGTCAAACACAAATGATGTAGCATGCATGAACTGATAAACAACTCTGTCTTTACTTATGGTCCGCGCTGCCCACAAATGGGAGAGATAGCCATACCTCCTGCCTACACATGGACGAGAGAGGTGAACATACATATTGCATTTAACACACACCCACATGTCGGTGATGAAACCCCATCAACCACACGCCTCTATCGGCGACCACGTCATCAGGAGGTAATCAATGATGAGAAGATGTTCTCCCGTGCCCTTCGCACATTTAACGACATGAAATTACACAACATAACATATATGAGACACATAGACAACTACCAATCTGATTTTCTGAGCCTGTCACCCGCAGGGGAGTTGTCCCTATAGGCTGTCTAGGAAATCGTAGACATACAGGTAGTTTTCTCTGACGCTATAATTCCATTGTTAATCTGTCTCTGACTCTTTTCTATGATAGAGATGGACTCGTTGTTGTTGTGTCATATTCTGTCACATTTTTATTTATTTTTTTTATAAACGGTGACACCACTCCCGTGTGCCCGCACATCAGCCGCACATACTCCGCACATATGCATACCAAACTGAAAATGCGTATGTAAACTGATGGAGACTGCATGCCCTACAACTAACAGGGTGCCACACACAAAACGCCCGACTAACCAACAGTACCCAACATCTCTCGTCTGCACCTTCCCAACATAACATATATGAGACACACAAGACAGCTACCAAACTGATTTGTTGAGCCTGTTACCCGCAGGGGAGATGTCCCTATAATATGCTGTCTGGGAAATCGTAGACATACAGGTAGTTTTCTCTGACGCTATGATTCCATTGTTAATCTGTCTATGACTCTTTTCTATGATAGAGATGGACACGTTGTGTCATATTACGAAACAAAAAAAAAAAACTGGCGGTGCCAATACGAGAGCCCGAACCTCTCTCGCCTCTCGTTCGCGATCTTATATTTTGTCGGCCCCGTTCTGGCTGGAGTATGGGCTTGAATAAGCGACAAAAAACACGCTCGAAAAAGTGCTTTGTGTCCCCGGGGGAAAGCGAAACCTGGCCGATGATACTTCTATGCCTTTTGAAAATATCGAAGTGAATCTGTCCGGAAGTTTGTGGGCATACATCGCCTGCAGGGCGCACACCATCGTCGCGTAGAAAGTGTGTGGTAGGGCGACGTCCCCGGCTGTCCACGGAGAGCTTAACGTACGTGTGAACAGGAGTGAACAGGATAATACGGTGGAACGACAACTTCACCGCCGCCGAAGTACACGTACGACGTTACCGTAGAAGGAAGGCCAAATTTTGTCCAACGCTTTGATTTGAATTGGGTCGACCAGTGGTCCACACTTTCACCAATCAAGACTGCTTCTAACGTCGGCCCAATGGTAAATACAGTCAAATCACTACAACAGTCAACGGCTCCAAAAGTGACAAAAAAAACAAGACAAACATACAAAACTGACTCCAGAACGTCACACCCGCTGGGAAAGATGGTCGAGGTAGACAGCAGTCCTTGCCTCCAAACAACATGGCAGGTTCGTGACCACAAGAAGACAAGCACACTTCACATACACACACACAGGTTTCTACACCACAGGACCCCAGAGCCAAACTATCACGAATGAGATAAAGGCAAGGATTGCAGCAAGGAGGGCTGACGGTGGTGGTGCCACCTATCTATCCAGCTCGTGCGTTTACCACCAACCCCCACTCAAGCACACCCTCCCCACAACCTATTCTCCGAGGTCTCCTCCTTCTCCACCATAAGCTAATTCGCACAGAGGAACCTGTCGTCGTCACTGCCACCATTCTGTCACACACAAGCAAAAGAAGCAACGGCAAACAACGGGAAGCGCACGCGGTAAGCATGGGAGTTGGTTCATGTGGATAAAGATCACCTAGGATTTAGGTCGGCGTAATGCGCGCTGTAGTACGTGCTCAAGACATGAATCGGGCCACAAACATGAAAATCCGTGCCTCACTCCCAATTTGTGGTTGAGAAGTTGGTAGACACAAACGGGAGCAGATACATACCTCAAAACGGCTCTCGTACCCTCAGAACCAGTCAGCTCCCGTCGCCCCCCATGGACCTTCGACTCCTGGTGATGTGGACGGTCCTCCCGGTACGCCCCCCCCGGAGCTGACCGCGGGGTCAGCGGCATGAGGTGTTTTCAACCCAGCCTCGCCCCCGACACCGTAAAACGCCACAATTCCCTTGGGCGTGCAGTCTCCGGTCCACCTCTTGTCGTCTAGTATGTCGATGGCGAGGTGCGCGGCGATACCATCTCGAACTGCCTTCTGGTTGTCACGAAGACATGATTGGTACTGCAACGGGGGGATTGGGTCTGTCGATGTCGGGTCGAAAGAGAGAGTGCACCCCCCAATCTTGTCTGTCCTTCCCGACTGCTCGCGCCCTTTTATGGCCGGGACAAGTTGCGCACGGTCGTAGCACACCAGGAGCAGATCCGCTTCCATACGCCACCTCGAGTCCAACTCGCTTACGAAGTAGTTGATCACCCCATGTGCCCCACCCTCCAAGTCCCGTTGCCTCACCCCTTGATGTATTGACACGGGCAGGTCCACGCCGTGGGCACACGCGGTGTAGAACGGCTCGTCGGCGACGGCGTCGGAGCTGTGATCTTGGAGCCATTTCGTCGGGTCTGCGGATTTGTTGGCATGCTTAGCCCCTGTAACGTTATTTGACCAACGGCCGTGATGGACATGGGCAAGGGGTTGGTGGAGGTGGGGGAGAAAGGGAAAGCGTTGGCGACGTTTGGGGTTGGTGCGTGGCTTCGCAATATTGTGAGTTGTTGCCTTCACAGATAAAAAAAAAATCCAGACTCTGATGAGTCCCTCCTAATATCCCTGTACGTCATACCACGGTAGTTCGCAAAAATTAGAAGGAAACTTACGACCGCTGTGCAGGGACGCATATGTATGGTTCACGCGACGGAAACAATTTCAGGTGCAGGCAACGTACTATCACCGTTCCGATAGTCCAGAAAACCGACAACGCTCAACCCGCGCCGATAGGTTAGGCACTACCATACACGAAACCACTTTGTAGCCGTCAACTTTCTACCATGGCAACGATTCGCCGTTAGCGATTCGCCGGTCATCTGTTTCTATGTAAAAATTCACTGAGTGCCCTCTTTTCTAACCCTAGTCCCTCCCTTCAACCCGCCCCCTACTCTCTCCCACAATCATAGATGCATTGATCTCTCCCTCACCTCCGGTAGCATTTGCCATGCAAAACGGCGTCGATGCTCCAATCTTCGTCGCCATGTCCACCACTTGCTCCTCGGTCAACGACCCCCTCCCTACGACAGCGTCAAACACGTTCAGCACCATCGCCTTCATCTCTTGCCCCCCCGCGTATGCGTTGCCAACTGTATCCTTCAGCTTCGACGACCTCCCTTTGCTCCTCGTCGACTTGTTCTCTGTGCTCAAAGCCGGGATCGAGAGTATCTTCTTTTGTTAGCTCCCTTCTTGGTCTTGTCCTTCTTGACGAAGTACAGCACGAAGTCCCGCATCTTCTCTAACGCCGTTGCCGGGACACCTAGAATCTCTTGCCACGTTGCCTCTGGAAACACCCTCCAGTCCAAGGCCACGACCTTCGCCTTGCCTAAGTCGCCCTGAAATAAAGGGCTGTCTTGCAAGCATTGGACTGCTTTCTTGACCGCAGGCGCACGCAGTAAAGCCAGCTCCCGGCATCTGTCCCGTTCCGTACGTGGCCCTTCGAGGAATTCCCGCCCAAATTCGAATTCAGCGATCTCGCGAAGCTGAGCAGTCGGGGCCAGCTTGTGGACGAAACTTGGAAGTATCCTCTTCGTCAAGGTCTTGTACAGACGATTAGCAACCTCCTGCCTCTCACCCAAACCAAGCCGGGCGCACGCATCCTTGCTGAGCGAGACTGAAAATAACTCGGCCATCACTCTCAGATCCGACTCCGACATCCTTGACATCTCGGCAAGGTGATCCACCACCAGGAATTGATATCGGTCCTTACCGGTGATGTAAAAAATGGGAGCGATACGGCGAAGCGCATCAAGCCGCAGCATGAAATCGCCCGTGCGCAGGGCAGTCCGGAAGGTCATGTAGGCAGGGAAGTCGTGCAAGAGGAACTGCTTCCACAGGGCGAAAGTCTTGTGTTCTGCCGCTCGCTTCTTGATCCACGCAACCACTTTGCTGTCGGCATCCTCCGCCAGCATGCCCTCCCCCGGTGGAAGGCACATCTCCCGATATGAAGACATAAGTGCCTCCCACATCACGACGAGGTGGTGGTGTGCCCGTCGGTAGTTGCTCCCCTCGCTTGACTTGCTGTTGTCCGTGCCCAAATCCTTCGCCACGAACTCTACGCCAGCCCCCCAATACCGCTTGAGAAGAGCCTTCGCCATGTGCAAGAGGAGATGCCAATCACCGGGTTACCGACGAAATTGACGATATGCGATGCGCTCCTGCTTCTGGATGTGGTACAGGACGCGATACGTCTCCTCGGCCCCGGCGATTATGCACGGCGCGCCGTCCTTGCCGGCGTCCGTACCGCGCCAGATACGGAGGATGCGGTCGATGGCCGCCTTGTTGTCGGTGAAGGTTTTTGTACTCCCTAGTTGGATGGACGCGTGCCGGCCGTCAAGAGTAGCTCTCCTCAGGCGTCAAATCCTGTGTCGAAAACGTGGTTGCGGAAGCGTAGTTTTCGAGCAGCAAATTCGAAGGGACGGAGGGACTAAACCAGACAGAATAACGTTTGCTTCCCCTCAACTATCGCCTCCACATCAGCAATTCCACGAACGACCAAGAGCAACCAACAATATTATAGTTGAGCGACTAAAAAATCACCACCTTCCATTGTTTTGATTGGTCACCTCCTTGGTGGTGTGCCCGTCGGTAGTTGCTCCCCTCGCTTGACTTGCTGTTGTCCGTGCCCAAATCCTTCGCCACGAACTCTACGCCAGCCCCCCAATACCGCTTGAGAAGAGCCTTCGCCACGTGCAAGAGGAGATGCCAATCACCGGGTTACCGACGAAATTGACGATATGCGATGCGCTCCTGCTTCTGGATGTGGTACAGGACGCGATACGTCTCCTCGGCCCCGGCGATTATGCACGGCGCGCCGTCCTTGCCGGCGTCCGTACCGCGCCAGATACGGAGGATGCGGTCGATGGCCGCCTTGTTGTCGGTGAAGGTTTTTGTACTCCCTAGTTGGATGGACGCGTGCCGGCCGTCAAGAGTAGCTCTCCTCAGGCGTCAAATCCTGTGTCGAAAACGTGGTTGCGGAAGCGTAGTTTTCGAGCAGCAAATTCGAAGGGACGGAGGGACTAAACCAGACAGAATAACGTTTGCTTCCCCTCAACTATCGCCTCCACATCAGCAATTCCACGAACGACCAAGAGCAACCAACAATATTATAGTTGAGCGACTAAAAAATCACCACCTTCCATTGTTTTGATTGGTCACCTCCAACATCACCATGTAGCAATCAAGCGTTGCAAGCTTCTACTTTTTCTGCTTTTTCGGTCCCGCTTTTCCTATGTTATTCCCAAAATGTAAACACGATTTCAGAAGTTGGTGACTTCAATCCTAAAGGAAAGGTTGCCTCACAGAACTACCCCACACCAACCCACCTTTCGGAGTTGAGCCTCCACACACCACCTCGGCCCGTCCGGTGTCGAACCTAACGACGCACTCTCGTAAACGGCACGTCGGAGCCGGGACTGGAAGGCCTCGAACCGCCGTTCGCCCCCCTGTGCATTTGGCCCCTTCATCACGTCGTCCACGGTCAGGAGGCTATTCCGCTTCAACCTCGAGGCGTCTTCGAGTTTACCCACCGATCCCCCCACCGGGACGGCCGAAGCTGCGATCGTCGACAGATGAGGCTCCCCCTGGCTAGCTCCAACCGCGGGTTTCATGTCACAGTTGTCGAACGGAAACGCACAACAGGTGGCATCCTTAGGAAGCATATCACCGTCCTCCACGACCTTCGCATTGAAATCCTCTCGATGCCGTACTTGCGAATCCGTCGCCCACATGCCATGGGCCGCGCGAAAGTCGACCACCCTCCGAGGGGTACCTTTCGACTTGGCCCACTGAGCCGCTTTGATATAATGCGAAGCCCTGTACCGAGTACCTAAAACGGCTTTCACTACGCCCGTGCACATCATCACAAGCTGCCGACCTACAGAACGAAAATGAGGCATCGTCGATCTTAGCGGCTTCTTTTTCAGAGGTAGGATGTACAGACGGCCCCTCTGATGCCCCCGGCCCCCGCCCCTCGACGGAGGTACCTAGAGATGATGCCTGGCCTCCGTCGACTACGCTCGTGTCTGCCCGTCTCGACTCGACGCCTCCGTCGCCGTTGTCTCGACGCCGATGCACATCGCGCCACCCGGCCTCCCACACCCAGCCCGGCCCCCAACCTGTGGCCCCCAACCTGTGGGGGCGAGGGAGCTGACCTCGCGGCACAAGGGCTGGTATAATATCCTCTGGAAAAAACCTACTGTGTTCGGGGGCAGCGCGGCTAGCGTCTCGGGAGGTGATTCCACAGTTGTTGCCAGCTCCTGGGCATAGTTGTGTTTCGCTCTACTGGGGGGTACGTTCTTGAGGCTTGACTGCTGTTCGATGTCTGTCCAGACAATCGCCCCTGCTGCCTTGACCACCGCCATCCTCTCGTGTCCAGCCGCTACGTCCACCTTAACCTGCTCCAGCTCTCGGTCAAGAAGCGGGCCTCGCCCCTCCGAGCTCTAGGGTTCGTGCGCGGCGAGGTCTCTCCTCTTCCGAGCCTGGACGAGGTACCCAACGACTACCTCGTCGCGAAGGTTGCACGGGAAGAGACAGAGATGGCTCTCGCGTGTGCCCCCATGGTTTCCTTTTTCTGGACCGACCACCCGCGATGTACTGCCGGGAGAGTCGGCGATACTGGTGAACACCGTACGCACGATCGTTCGTGTGTACGGCATACTGATGTCTTTGTCGCCAGCCCTCGGGCGTTCAGCTGATAGCCACTCCGCCGCGTCCTTCCAATACACGATCTCCCCCTGCCCGACCGCTTCCTCCACCCTAGAAAGCACCTTCTCCACAGCAGGAGGAACCACCGTCGCTTCGCCAGAGACTTCAACAGCGCTTGCGGGCCGTGCTCGGAGTAACGCGGACGCGCCAGCCACCTCGGGCATGCGGTCGGGTGTCTCTTGCAGGGAGGTGGGGGCAGTAATAGGCTCGGTTCCACTACCGCCTGGCGTTTGAGGTTAGTTGGTACTTGCCGGCACGCATTGCTCACTACCCTCCGCCTCCTGCGACGCCGAGGTGACCGGAACAACATCAGGTACGCTACCAGATGGAGTTTGCGACGAGGTGGTGGGAGCAACGAACTCGGGTCCACTACCGGCTGGCGCTTGCGATGAGTTGGTGGAACATCGGCTCCTGTCCCGCAAATAGCAGGGATTGCAACGCCAAGAAGGTTCACGGGAAGACCCCCCCCCGTCCTTGACGTCTACGTCGGTGTACCATTTCGTTCCCTTTACCGGGAAAGCTCGCTTGCAACCGTCGCATTTCCTCTTCAGCCCGGCTTGGAGCTCTGAACAACGAAGTGTTGGAAACAGTGTTCGCGTCGGCAGAGGCAATGACTGCTTTTTGGACGATACCCAGGCACGACGCTCCCGGGTAGACTCGTCCTACTGGCGCAGAGATTGTCAGCCGCGAAATACGACTGACAATGTGCGTGAAGCCTCTCTCGTCCGCCGACCTGTGACATGCAGCACTCTCCTGCCGAATGCTCCCCCCGTGAGCACAGTTTACACCGCTCGCCGGGCGTGCTGGTGACACAACCGCATTCCTGGCGCCCGCATGCCTTCGCGCGCGGCTTCCTCTCTCTGGTGCTTGCGTCACTATCGGCAACTGCTCGTGGTCTCTTCCCATCTTGAACTTGCCGCCGAGAACGAAATCCCGGGGTATTCCTCGCCGTTTTTTGACGCTCAGCCTCGGCGATCTAACGTTCCTTGCGGGCCTTTGATTCCGCCTTCGCCACCGGCTGCTGCTCTTCGTAGTCCATATCTGCAATCTTCTGCTGCAACTGCGGCTGTAGTCGAGCTAAAGAACGTCTGGCCTTAACCCTCGCCTGACGCTTCTTCCCTGATCTTCGCCCCGAAACTTCCAACCTCGCGCCAGAATCTTGCGCCGGGCGCTTCGCTCTACTTGCCCGAGGTGTCTCTCTGCCCCCCCAGCGTTGTCGCGACGTAGCGTTCCCTGTTCGTTGCCTATCGTAGTAACTGGAGATGATGGGTTCTCCGTCTGCTGGCCAGCGGCCGGATGCCGCGGGGACACGGGCGGTGTATAACCACCCAGTCCCGGGGAGAGCAGCACTGGGGGGTGCGGGAAACCCAGTCTTCTGTCCCGGGTAGCCATGGTGCTGCGTGATTGCACACGAGCATGAAACCACCCTGAAAGCGAGGATGAGTATCGTCACACAAAAGGAACGATCATAAGTTAGGGGTCAGTCTTCAAGTTTGTTAAGCAGCGGTACTCTTCTTCGCGGTACCACCTCGAACTGTCGGTGGCAGTTTCCAGATCATAGCGTCCAACTTTATACTGCAGTTTTCTTTTGACATGTGGCCATCACGAACGGGTACCGCCCCGAAATGAAAAAACCACCCTGAAAGCGAGGTTGGGTATCGTCACACAAAATAAAATGACAATAAGCTAGGGGTCAGTCTCCAAGTTTGTAACGCAGCGGTACTCTTCTTCGCGGTACCACCTCAAACTGTCGGTGTCAGTTTCCAGATGAACGCGTCCAACCTTTTAGTTATATTTGGACATGTGGCCAGCACGAACGGGTACCGCCCCGAAATCACATGTAACGTGGGTCCAAGTACAAGACATAAACATTGAACTTGGAAGGTTGGATCTCGATTCAATAGCATACTACGCACACCAGCCAGCGGTAGATGCCACATACAGATCTCTTGTTGTTGTTGTTGTTGTTTCTCACATTAGCTCTATAGTCCACAAAAAATGGGGAGCCCGTGGTCTCAAAACCCGGCACATACGACGCCGCGAGAAAACAAAAAACAAAATAAATAGGGTACAAACCACTCGGAAAAACAAAACAAAATGATAGAAAGAAAAGAACAGGTATCGCACCGACCGTTCGAGAAAAGAGCCCTCGGACACCGATCAAAATAAAACAAAACAAAAATAACAGAAAAATAAAGGAGGACGCTTCCCACACCCGCCCAAAGAAAAAATCAAAGGGTAACGTACCAGCATCAGGCACTGCGCACCAGGGCATGGGAGTAACGGAGCAAACAGGGCAAAGAGGCGGCAGATGGGCAGACAGCCAGACGTACAAAAACAAAGGCAACAGCAAAGCGAGATCAAGGTACCCAACACAGCAGAGTAGGCAGGGAGGTCATAAAAAAAAGAAACACAGCACAGAGGCCGAAGGCAATACAAGGACATACATAAAGGAGTATAGCATACGGCAGGGAGGGAAACCGGGCGCAACAACATCAGCCGGGTGCATAGTTCGCCACAAGCGTTGCCTCGGCCGCCCTACTCGCTTCTACAGCAGTGCCCGTTCGCCGTTTCTTCCCCCCCACCGCCGCTTCGCCGGTTCTCTTTCTCTTCGGTCCTGAGATGGTCGTACTCTCTGCTTCTGCTTCCCGCGCGCGCTGGCGCTTCGCGGACGCTTCCGCCTCCTGCCTGTGCCATTTCCTCATGAACCATGCCGCCCCGTCCTCGACCTTGTTGTACCACACCTCCGAGTTCTTGGCGCTCTCTTTCCATTTCCCCCCTTCCTTTTCGTCTCCCATGTTGAAGGCCACGAGGTCCTCTCCTAGACGAGACACCCAGTCGCTCTCCTGCCCGCCCCGGTATCCCACGCCCCCCGCCATCGCTCCTAACAGCATGCGCTTGGGGAGGCGGCTGTCCTCCATGCGCATAACGAAGCCCGCGAAACACAGTCTCCGTTTGCGCACGGTGGCCTCGATGGTTTCCTCGCAGCCTGCCTGGATGAGGGCCTGGGCATAGGACAGGGGGCGGTCTGAGCGTTTCCGCTTGCTCCAGCCGATGCACCGTGTGAGGAACCTTGTGTGATGCCTTGTTTTGGCCTGCTTTCGAAGGGCTGTGACACCAGGTTGTGCACGTGCCTGCGGACGAATACCAAAACCGCGGAGGATCTACGCAGCACAGACGCGAAATTGACGTGTGGAATTTGAAGCTGTTTGTGATGCCGCTGCGTTGTGCATCTTGCTCACCTCCTCGACTAGTCTACTGCTGTTACTCTGACTAACATGAAGCCTAGATCTAGATGTCTTTTCGCCCTTGGCCCAAAGGCTAGATTGTACTCTACACTTCTGTTATTGTAAAGCTGCTCTGCAGCAGCTGGGGAACATTTCACGTGTGAGGACATTCCACCCTGTACGTCTGCCCTACCCGTTCCCCCGCGCCCCCAACCCACGGTAGGCTGGACGTTGGTGCGTGTGAGTGCTGTTTTGCCTCTACTTACTCTCCATCCGCTTTGATTTCCCCCACGCGCGCCTTTCCACCACAAATTATCATTGTAGGTGGCACCATTCAAGGTGCCCAGGGACAGCGGGTCTATGCGGAACGGGGGCAGCCGGTGGTCCCGCAGATGCGTTCCACTTCGCGGGAGAACTGCACGATCGTCACCACCATCAACGCCGCCGGCGCCGTGTTGGCCCCTACCATCATCTTCAAAGGGCAGCGTTTCAACGGAGATTGGATCGTGGATCAGGACGGCCCGCCGGGTGCGACTTACACCTGCACGGAGTCGTCCTTCATGTGTGGTGACGTGTTCATCAAGTACATCATGGACTTCCACGAGCAGCTGCGCAAGCGCAACTTGCTCGATGGAAAACCCCATGTGCTCGTGCTGGATGGGCACGCGTCGCACGTGAGCTTGGAAGTCGTGGAGTTGGCCAGGTCCCTCAACATCCACCTCGTCCAGCTGCCCTCCCACATGTCCCACATCACCCAGCCCCTGGACGTCGCTGGCTTCGGGTGCTTCAAGAAGGAGCTGACCAAGGCGATCCAGGCCTTCCCGGCGACACACGGAGGGGCGTTGCCGCGGAAGCGGGACATGGCCTCCGTGATCGGGCAAGCGTGGAGCACGAGCTTTACGCCGGACATCAACAAAGCTTCCTTCGCCGGGGCGGGCCTTTGGCCGGTGGACAAGGAACGGGCACTCAGTCGGCTGCTGAAACCCAAGAGGAAGGAGAGGGAAACCGACCGCCCTCCCCTGCAAGACGTCCCCATCGCCGTGAGCAACGATCGGCTGGAGGAATTGCTGGGCGAACGCGCCGTCCGCAAGCTCCTGGGGGAAGGCCACACCCTCACGGGACTCCGCGTGAGCACGGTGTTTCTCGGCGACTACCTGCCCAGCAAGCGATCCAAGAAGCCGCCAACGCGGGCGAACTTGGGCATTCCAGAGGGAGGACTTCCCATTTGTGACGGGTGGTTGGCGGAGATGAAGAAGAAACAAAACGAAGCCGAGGCTGCCGAGGCCGCCAAGGCGGCAAAGGCCGCGGCGAGGCAAACGGCACGGGACGCGAAGGCGGCGGCGGCGGCGGCGGCGGCGGCGAGGAACGGCGGGCGGGGACGGGGGCAAGGGCAGGGCAGAGGGCGGGGCCAGGGAAGGGGGCGGGGGGGGCGGGCGAGAAGAGGAGAGTAGGAGGGACGAGCGAACCGAGACAGGGAGGGAGGAAGGGGGGGGGCGAGGTGTTGGTGTTGTTCAAGGGGGGCGAGGGGGGCGTGGGCTGGGCGCGCGGGTGGGCGGGCGCACTGTTGGTGGCCGCGGCGAGGGCACGGGGGGGCATGGGCGGGGAGGTGGTCCTAGCCGCGGTGGAACAGGGGCGGAAGGAGCGGGAGGGGCGGGAGGGGCGGGAGGGTCAGGAATCACCGGGGGTCAGCCGCCGGCGGCGTCCGTATCGCGACCGGGACGAACCCGCACGCCGATACCTGTAGTGGATGTCTAGGTTTCTTCGGGGAGGTGGGGGTTGTATTGTTGTGCAGAGAACCACATGGTATCGGGCTAAAGTTAGCTCTGAATGGCTTGAAATTTGTGTGTGGAACTGATTTCGAACTGTTGAGTGTTCAGTACGGGTCACGAGGGTGCTTCAGGTAACGTGGTTGTCAAACAGCACGTCGAGGGGGAGGCGGGAATGGCTGGCGGACAACTTGTGGACAAACCCGGGGATGCTGTACTTTTGTCCCCTGGGCTATGTGTTTTTTTTTTTTGTTATCCAACGTGTTTTCTGCAACCTTCAATACGTTTCTCTGAAACGGCGTCACCCGGGGGGTTAATATGGGTGAAAAATAGTTGCTTCAACATGTGGCACGGTTTTGACGGAAGTTGCTGCCGTACAAGCCAAAAAGGGGGCAAAAGTGCCCATGTTTGGACAGGCATATTACCATCCATAGGCATCCGTTTAACGTTATTTTTTTTTGTGACTCAGAACAGGATGCGTACTAGTCGTTGGTTCATCAAATTCAACGGTTGAGCTGGTTCAAGGCAACACAACCCGCACTACCCCCCCAAATGGGTATTTTTCGCCCCGCAGAATTGAGCCGAAAAACCGGGGATATGGGCATTGTGTCCCCGGTTGTGGGCCGATTTTTTTTTTTTAATCGAGCGCTCATGATACTAAGACTATGTGTGCCAAATTTGACGTCTTAGTACTTCAGAACCTTTGCAAATCGACCATCACCGGAACCTGCCCTTAACCCTTCTGTGGCTACCGTCACTTTTTTTTTATCATTTTTTTTATCACTCTGGCTCAATAGCCCGGTCTTCTCAAGGAGGGGATGATAAGGAAAATATCCCGAACCAAATGCAAGGGAGTTGTATAGCAGGCAGGACGCCTACAAAGACCTGCAGGTCTGCAGCGTAGCTTGTGCACACACCCCCACAAGCGCCGCGTTGGGGTATGCATGGCGAGTTATACAAGGCACGTTAGGGCCGCAGCCTGGCTGGGAGCAACTCTCTTCACCCTCGCTGCTCTCGCAAGCGCGATTCCTGGGCGCTCTGCACGCAAATTACACGACCTCGCGCTTCATCACCACCGCCAGCTTCTTCCGACCCACCAGCTGCTGTTGTTGCCGACCCAGCAAGCTAGCATGAGCTCCGACTACGAGGAAGAGGAAGGCGAAGACGAGGACGACAATACAAACGAAGTCTACAGGGCGCCCTATGCTGCGGACACACATAACACCGGCAGGACCACGCGGGGCTCTGCTCTCCATCAAGCACAGCAGCAGCAGCAGCAGCAGCAGCAAACATCACCAGCCGCACAGCAACAGCAGCCACCAGCAGCCCAGCAGCCGCAGCCGCAGCCGCAGCCGCAGCCGCAGCAGCCGCAGCAGCAGCCGTCTCCCGTTGGTGCGGATCCGAGCGTGTGTCGGGCTATCATCGAGTGCGGTCAAAACAAGGGAAAACGGTGTGGCAAAGCCGCTGGCGGACGCGTGCTGGGTCTGTGTGGTCATCACGACGGCACGAGGAAGCGGCTGAAGGCTGCTGGCACCACAGCAGCAGGCACCACAGCAGCAGCAGGACTGGAGGTGGGCGCTGGGGTAGATGACCAGGCCAACTTCGGCTCGGACGACGAATTGGGAGGCGGCGTTGACGAGTTGCAAACTGCGGGCGCGGACGCCCAACAGAGCAAGCTGCAACACTCACACTACCAGAGGGCGTCGGTAATAGAGGATCAAGGGCTCCGGGAAGCGTACGAGAGTGTTTGGCACCTGAAGAAGGCCACCTCCAAGAAGCGCAAGGTATGCATTGTGTGCATGCATGTATAGTACTACTGTTGTTATGCTGTTCAGAGCACGCTAGTTTTGCTGCTATGAATGTGAATGCCTCGAGGTCCGTTTGCAAATGTAGTACTTCGAGTAAAGGTTTGGCCGTACATGGTTGTGACGCAGTACAGCGCAGTAGCAAGAGTTGCGTGACATGCATGTATGTATGCGTACAGTCTGTCGGTGAATCTTATTTCCTCAAGAAAGAGGAAGCTGCTGTACTCAAGAATTTCGTTTCTCTCACAGCACCCACAGGTACATGTAACGTGGGCGATCTTTTCCTTCTTCGTCGTACCACTATAACAGCAGTGACGTGCTCTCAGCTCCCTCGGTTCTGCGCTAGCTATTCTGCGCACACCGGCCATGACGCCAAGGGTGTCCGGCTGACATTGTTTCGGCTGAATATGTTTCTCACTTGTTCAATCGTGCTGGCCCCGGGCCCCTGCAATGTTTCGTCGCCCCTTCCCTCTCTCTCCTTCTCCTAGGCTGGGGACGCGCCGCCCCAACCCGCCCCGCACGATGAGAGGGGCTGGACGTCGGCCGGCATGAAGAAGGATGTTGAGTCCGAGGCGTACAAGAGGAGACACAAGCACACGGGCGGCGACAAGTTTCAGCTAGCTCCGTCCCTCATCGCTCGACTCCCGAAGCATAACCGCACCGGCCTCAACGTGTTGCGGAACTTGATCGATGGAAAGACAAGTCGCTCCCGTTCAAGTTTTTCGAAGAGGCGTTTCCCCCGACATGCCAAGACAGCATCCTGACGGAGGCGCGTACTACCGAAAGAGGTGTAGCAGTACTCGTCAAAATATTCAGCTATTGAATATGGCGGATCACGTTGCTTTTGTTTCAGAGACTGATCCCCGCTGACACGCACAGAAATTTGTATCGACGATGTGTTCTGTTTTTGTATATGATTCTAAGGCGGGACACTCGCGGAGGGCAATGTCAGGCTTTTCTGTTTCTTGTATTTTTTCGAGGGTTAGGTTGACGCCAACACCACCCCGCCCCCCTCCTCCTCCCGAACAACTGCTATTTCCCTTTTCAGTTACATATTGTAATGTTGTGTTCGCTTCTGATGTATATTGTTCTCGGTCTTGTTCGGAGTGTTCAATGTTGAGTGTGTACAATGACGTTGATGGCGGGGAACGTTTTCGTGTTTCTTGTTTGCGTTTTTTCTTTCATCTTTTCGTTGCCTGTGAATACCATCATGGAATCAGCACGGACGGTA